TACAGGGCAGATCTAGTGATGACAAACTCAGCTTTGTTTTCTGGGACTGTCTAATTTCTGCCTTATTTCTGAAGGAGAGTTGCCAGCTATAGGATTCTTGGTGACAGATTTTTTTTTTCTTTCAGTGCTTTGAAAATATCAAACTACTGCGTTCTGGCCTCCAAAGTTTCTGATGAGAACTCAACCGATAATCACAAGAATCCCTAGTTTGTGACAAATTGCTTCTCTCCTGGTGCTTTCAATGTGTTCTCTTTACTTTTGGCTTTTGACAATTTAATTGTAATGTGTGTCAGGTCATCTCTTTAAAGTCAGCGTAGGCCAAGGGCAGCGCGATTCTCTAAGGGCCGTACAGATAGAGCATATCCGAGGCGAGCAGGGCGGGCACCCGGGGCCCGAAGAGGTGGCTCATACCGCGCGAGCCGGCGACGCGGGTGACGCGGGCGGCCTAGGGACTGCGCCCCGCGCCGCGAGGGTCCTCCCGGGGAGCCCGCCGCGCGTCTGCCTCCGGCTCTGGCGCTCTCCGCCGCTGCTCCGTGCTCTGTCCCTTCTTCATGGCTTTAAAAACGTTAAATAATTGTTGTAAGTTTGCTATTATATGTTGACTTAGCGCTGGAAAATAAATTGTCTATGATAAACAGCCGTTGTGTTCTCAGCCCACCCACATTAATTAAAATTTCATTGCTGAAAAACTCCAAGCTCTCTCCCTCCACGTGTCTTTTTGATACCAGCCAATCGGTTTCGGGGCTATTCCTTCATTTGTTTATAGAATTAGTCTGTTGATAAGTCCGCCCACCCAAGTTGAATCAAGCTGTGTTTATTTGGAAAAATTTCCGGGCACCCAATATATAAACGCACTGATCTGATGTTTGAAATATCACGTCTACCCCTTGACGCTGTAAGCACACACAGTCAGCAGGCAGGATGTGGACCGGGCGGCTGGAGCAGGGTCGGAGCAGCCGAGGGAGCGGTGGGAACAGGGCTGTGCACAGGGGCCAGTTTCACTGCTGACCTGGGGGAGCCCCCATAACCCCAGGGCCTCCCACAGAAGGCTTTTTCTCCTAGAGATGGCATCCTCTGGTCAAATGCTTTCTGAGGTCATTGAAACCTTTGAGATGCGGGAGGGGGAGATGAGTCTAAGAGGTATGGGTGTCTGATGCCGAGGGGATGCTGCCCTCCCTGGTAAGACACTTGGCAGACCCTGTAGGAGGTGGGCACTCCCTAGGGGCCTAGTCTCCCAGGACACCCACCTCAGTCCCTCTGGGGCTCCCTGGGGGCCAGAGAAAGAGAATTGGCCTCCAGCGACCCAGCCTCCCTGGAAAGGATGGCACAGGGCACCGTGGAGCTGAAGAGTTGGAGGTCGTGGGAGGCACTGGGGTGCGTGGTGCACAGCCCTGTCGAGGAGGGAGGGCTTCAAAACAAACCCGAGTGGAGAGCTGGGGGCCAAGGCAGGGCAGGGTTGCAAGCAAGGAAAGCCATAAAAGGGGGACTTGGCACTAGGAGAGAGCTGGTGTTTGTGAATGCGGGTCTGTCGCTTGCGCTTTCCTGTTTATAACACGGAGGGGGGTTATAACAACTCTACAAGTGCACGCAGCTGGCCCGTGATTACATTAAACGTTTGGGAAGCCTGTGCGCACTCCCCCACCACCTACCCTGGGGTGTACGCGCCCCCCCCCCACCTGGGCTCATTTTACATTTGGCCACGTCACGGTATGAATCAAAAATCCTGAATGAGGCGTCCTTTCCTCCTCCCCACTGCATTGAAGGACGGGGAGGGGAGGGGAAATGTAGCGTGACGAGTCGCTGTTTACGATCCGCGCCGAATATTTTTTAAAGAAAATAAAACGCTCGGGATAAGTGAATTCGCGTTTCACGGAGCAAAGCATGCGTCGGTGCCAGAGAAGAGGCAGGGGTGAGGGCGGCAGGTGGGCTAGAAATGGCCCCCCGCCGTGCACCATCAGGAAAGGGGGCTAGAGACACTATGGGGGTGAATGTCTGCCGCCGCCGCTGGCACCGAGAGACAACGCCAGGCTGGGGACGGGGGGGGG